TATTTGAAATCATTATATACTACATTATATACAACAAGGCGACAAACATAAAAATGGAGAAAAACACACCTCAGCAACCTCCACTGCCTTGATAAGCAAAAAAATTAAATTTATAGTTAGATGCTAATAGTATTTTATAATATATATATATATATATATATATATATATATATATATATANCATGTACCATTTATTATTGTTATAATGTTATAAATAATATACTTACAGCATGAACATCTTTATTTTTGGCACGAGCTTTCTCAAGAGCACGATTCGCAGATTCATATGCATGTAAAGCTTTTAATCTCCTAAACAAAAGTCGTTTAGCTGCGGCTGTATCTCTCATGTAATAACGTAGAGTGTCTGATAATTTTAAATCTTCGTCAGATGCTACTCGTCCCTCTACTTTCTATTAAATTGTAATATTAAAAATATAAATATGAATAAAAAAATTAAATAAATTAAATTATAAAAAATCTTACCCTTAATTTCTCAAACATTTCTGCAATTTTTGTTAAAAATCTCTCTAATTTACCAGTATCAGTTGTAGCTAACTGCAAAAGATTTGTGGAAATTTTAATATATGAATCTGCTACATCTTTATGTTTGGTTGTCTGTCGATCTGCACGAATTGTTGCTTCTTTTAGATTATGATGATAAGTTTGTAAAAAAGACATTTCTTGATCAAAGAAATCATTAACATCTTTTACTGTTGCAGATAAATAATATTCATCTGTAGTAGTGGAAAAAGATTTTACTAAACCACCAAACATTTCCATTTTATTTTTTCCTGAAGAAACAAAATATCTGTATTTTTTATTCATATTATACAGATATTATATTATACTATATAATATTATGTTATATAAATTTAATAATAAATTTTGATAAATTTTATAAAATGAAATTCTTCTTAAGAAAAATTAAGAAGTTTATTTTTTTTATATGAGTTTTTTTTACCTCTTACACAAAGATCTTGATCATATTCCAGAAATACTCTTAAATTATGATCATTACGAAAAACTGGATGATGTGCTAATCTAGTTAAAAACATTTCATGCATAGCAACAGTTTTTTTAAATGTTGCCAAATATTCACTGTAAAAGAAAAAATGTCAATATATAGATTTATATATCTCATATAAAATGTATTTATGCTGGAAAATATTTTAAATTACATATATTTTAAAGTTACTGTATATAACTTACGCTTCCAATTCTTGTTTCATTTTATTAAATTCTTCACGTGTCATATTACCCTCACCCTCTCCAAGTTTTTGTAATTTTTCACGAGATGCATCAAAGTCTGGTCGTGGTGGACAAGGAGGAATCTAAAAATTTTTTCTAATATTATTAACAATTGTAATTATATACTTAGTATAAAAAAAATACTTAATATACATACAATATATCCAGCATATTCTTCATTTTCTTCAAATCGGTCATGTAACCAAACAAATTCTTCATGTTGTCTTACAACTAAGTTATCTGGTTTTTGAAATTCCGGTAATGTAGTTGTTGTATGTACAGTAAATTTTACTTTATCTTTTTCACTAAGAGCATCTGAAATATCCACTTGTAATGACTTATCAGAAAGGTCTACATTGTCAGCATGAATTGTCTGTAAATATAAATGAATAAAATTAGAATTAGAAATAGAAATTATTAATATTTAAAAAATAATAACATAAACGATAAATTTATATATAAAAAAAAATAAATTTTCTATTAAATGTCACTTATAAAGAATATTAAAAAGAAAATTTAAGTACCTTTTTAGCAGGAACGTTATTTAAAATGTCGGCAGTATCACATATGCCGTCCTGAAACATTTTATTTAATTAAAAACTATGTAGAAAATATTTATAACAAAATAAAATTTAAACTGCACAGTATTAAATTCGTTGAAAAAGCAGGTCGGTGGATAAGTGATAACAGGTTCCACCTACCATCATGGCGTCCAAGCGTCTCTGACACGTTCTCAATTTTATAGCATTCAACTATAAGAATTAAACCGATAACAATTTTAATTGTAAAATTTAAAAATTCATCTTATACATTTAAATGAAATTATTTTCTTTTTATTTATATATATATATATATATATATATATATATATATTACATATTATTTTCATCAATATAAAATTTATTATTAATAAAATGCACAATCGATTTAAAAATGTCAAAATGTGATATATTTAAAATATATATTGTTAAATCAATTGTGTTAAAAATACAATAAAATATAATAAAATTTAAAAATAAAATGATGTTTTGATAAATTTAAAATTAATTTTTTATTATCAATTATGTAAATAATACGTAAATAATATTATTAAATCTTTATTAAAATACAAATATAATTTATCTATTTATGATAATCTTGCATTTCGTAAAAAATAAATATAATTAAATATATTAATTCAAAATTTCTTGTATTTTTTTAAATATTGAGATTTCTATATTTTTATATTTAAAACACAATATTTTTATGTTCACAAATCTATTGAATTTTATAAATCATTTATAATATAATAATATAATTATATATGTATATATTTTTTATAATATATTATGAAATATATATTGTTTTTTATACTTACATTTTTTTTACTTACATTATATATTTGAAAGATGATTTATTTTACAATTTTCTTATTAAATAATTATTCATATAGTTTATGTATCGAACTCTGATCTACATCTAAGTTAGTACGTACATAATCTATATTTTCAACAATTTATTTTGAAACTACGTATATGTTAGTTCCAATCAATATTTTATCATAAATTTATTTATATTATTATAATTGTTTTTATATAAATTTGAATTACATATTACTTATTTATAGTACATTGTTCTACGTATGTAACATTATATTGTATAATATAATTTCAATTTTTTTAGAGAATGTATCATAATTAATTACTATTACATTATAAATATATATGCATGTATATTATTTTAATATTTTTTAGTTTGTTTTAATATTTTTTCTACATTTGCTTGATATATGTATAGTCTTTGATATCCTTCTTTTTATTTAGGTTATAATAAAAAATAGATAAAATATTTAAATATTCATCGCTTATATAATTATATAATATTTATATAAAATTTATAATATTAAGAAATATTCTTATTATTATAAGGAAACATTCTATTAATTAAATAAAATTAAAGAATTCTTTTAATGTAAAATCAATTAACTTTTTTGTTTTCTTTAATGTTAAATTTATCATGAATGATTCTAATTATCTCAAATATTAAATATTATTTTATATGTTTCTCATAAATCTATTATATATTATTTATATCATTATTTTTTCAAAGTAACGTTTCAACAATGAAGGATCAATATGATAAATTATCATGGAAAGGTAAGTTGATAAAAAATATAATTTAATAAATTATAATTTTTTAGAATTAAATTTATTAAAATTATTAAATTTTTTTATTTTATTTTATTATATATAGAAGTACGAGATCTGTTTAGAACATGGAGAGAAGATAGTGAAAGACGAAGTAAAGATGTAGTTGATTTATGGGAGGCTAAATTAATGGGAAAAATTGATCATCTTGGCAATGAAAGTATGATAAAATGTTTTTTTTCTGAAATGTTTAATAATTAATTATTATTATACTTTATATATGTAAATTTCAAATAGAATATCTGGTTTTGGAACAAGTCTGTATAGCAGCATTGGATTGTGATCGTCATTCTTTAGCGGAATATTGCATTAAAATATTAAAGAGAGAATTTCCTAGCAGTTTAAGAGTTCATAAATATCATGCTATGCATCTCGAAGCTTTGGAAATGTAAAATTTATTTATGATATAATTATGATATACTGTATATTTATATTATATAATATAAATAAAATAAAAAATATTTTAGGTATGATGAAGCATTAGAAGTTTTGGATTCTATTATAAAAAGAGATGAAACAAATGCTGCACCAAGAAAAAGACGTATAGCTATATTAAAAGCAAAAGGTCGAATACCAGAAGCTATTAAAGAGCTTACAGAATACTTAAAAAAGTCAGTGATTAAATATAATTTTGTTTATACTTCTTATTACAATTGTGAATATATCTTTTATCCATTACAGATTTATGAGTGATCAAGAAGCATGGCATGAATTGTGCGATTTATATTTACAAGAACAAGAATATTCTAAGGCTGCATTCTGTATGGAAGAACTCATATTGCATAATCCACATAGTCATTTAATTTATCAAAGATATGCAGAAATAAAATATTCTCAGGTAATAAATTATTTGATAATATTTGAAACCTGAATTTTTTTGAAATAATAAATATTTACTTATATTTAGGGTGGATTTGAAAATATGGAATTAGCAAAAGCATATTTTTGTCAAGCTGCAAGATTGAATCCAAATAATATTAGAGCTTTATATGGTTTATTATTGGTAAGAAAAAACGTTTTACTAAAAACATATTATAATATTAAATTTTTTATGAGTTTGAATTTATAGGCATCAAATAATATTGCTACATCACCCAAATGTCCTTCTTCTAAAAAAAAAGATGCAATAAAATTAAGTGAATGGGCAGCTAATCAAATTGAAAAACAATATCAATCAAAAGTTGCAGATGAAAGTATTAAAGCATTAGAAGGATTATTAGGACAATTACAACTTGAAATTTAGGTATATAAATTTATATATATGTACATGTTTATAAGTACTGTACATATGTAAATGTATATGTAACTCTTTATATTTCAATCTATATATATATATATATATAAGAAATGAATATATATATATATATACACACACACACATATATATATATTTATTGCTCGATATAAATTTTCTTTGATAAGTGAATCCTTTAGTGAATCAAGTAAATTGGACATTAAAATGTTATTATGCAAAATAATGAAATAGTTAAGAAAGTAATTTTTAAAGATTTTTATCATAAATTAATGAAAAAAATTTATCACTTTTTCGATATATTTTCTCTTAAAGATATTAAAAATCGTTTTATTATCATTTTTAAGTCTCTTCAATGTAATCAAATCTGTAATAAATTCCTAAATGTCATTCATATTTTGAATTGCATATATGATTGTGAAAAAAATAATAATTTTAAAAAAATTATATTTTAAATCACGAATTTAAAAGAAAATAAATATTTGTTCACGTAAAATAATATTATAGTCATCTTTTTGGATTTTCTTTATTATTCTGTTCCCAAATTTCTCGTTTTTTTGCTTTTTCTACAGCTTTCTTCATTCGTTTTTCTCTTCTACTTTCATTTCGTAGTGCAAAATATTTTTCTCGGAAATCGATTAAATTAGTAGAAATTATTTCATCTGATTCCTAAAAAAAGAAATGAATTAAAACTTTTTTTAAAATAATTTTATATTTAATTATATAAAATGTTTATTTCTACATACCTTTGGATCTTTTACTTTCTTATAAGTTAATAATCTGCGACTAGTATAATTACTAAGTATTTGTTCTGAATTAGCTATTAATTCCAAACATGGATGTGTTGGTAATTGATCTTCTGAATATTGATCTCTAAAAAAAATATGTTCTATATTTTAACTTAAAAAAATAAATACTTATGATATATATATATATATAAATAATTTTTGTTAATAAATTAATATATTTTACCTAAATAAAGGAAACCAACATACTAATCTACCATTTAACTTAAGATGTTTAGCTGCAAAAGTTAGTAAATCTTTGTACATTTGAGGTAAATCATAACCAATTTTAGATGGTATATGAGATGAAGCTTGATGTTCCTCTATTACTGGATTTAATTTAGTTGTACCTATTCTTTCTGTTGCTTCTCTTATACCATAAGGTGCTATAATTAATAAACAAATTAAATTATTTATAATAAAATTCATAAGTTAATCTAAAAAATAATTATACTTACGATCAGTAATTATAGCATCTATACACATATCGGAACGCCATAAAGGATAAGAAAAATCTGATACAACTACATCAATATAATATGATCTTTTTCCATATTGACTCATATTTGTGGCAATATTTTCATCTTTTCCTCGAATCTGATTAATATTTTTATATAATAATTTGAAATAATCAATAAGTGAAAAACAAATATCTTACTTTTTGTGATATTCTACTAGGCCTTGTACGACCATGGAGCATTAAAAAATCTATATCTGTTCCTAAAGTATATCCTCCAAAATGTGAAGCAGCAACTAATAAAGATCCAGTACCAACAAATGGATCAAGAACAATATCTCCTTTTTGAACTTGAGCTTGATTAGCCATTATTAATGATAATTGAGGATCCATAGATGTATTACCAATAAATTTTCTTGTTTTCAGGGATAATTTTTGAATTAAATTTCTTTGTCCACTTGTAATCTAAAAAATTTTTTGTGATATAGTATAAGTGTGATATAGTAATAAAGTGATAATATATATATAATAAGTTAAATATATTATAATAATATAAAGATACCAACCCATCTACCAAAGAATAATTCATAAGGTTTTTCAGGAATGTTATTAGGATCTAATCCATAAAATTCTATATAACATAATGTTGTGTCTGGATTATTCAATCTTACTGGTCCCTCTAATGGTAAATAACTGAAAGACTTTTATACAATACTATTTATTTATTTATAAAGATATATATATATATATAATTTAGAATAAATTTAGAATAAATTTTCTATTTTATTTATCTAATTTAATTTTAAAAATAATCTATTTTAATTTTATAAATTTATATAGTTTAATTATATACTTACATCAATTTTTTTTATTTTTTCACTTTGTGAAAAATGTTTGCAAAATGTTTCAACTATTATTTTAAAAGATTTATGTGGTCCAGCATATTTATTAATTTCTGATATTGGATAATTTTTTAACTTACTATGCAAATCTTCAATTGTTTTACTATTAGCCCATAATTCTATGCAAAACCGTACAGAGACTGCTCTGCTTGAAATTTTGTTTGCTATATTTTCTGAAGGTAAATTAACTATCCAATATGGCTAAAACAAACAATTTGTAATATATTTATTTATAAATCATATGAATATAAATATTTTTATTTTCTTACATGTTCTTTTAATTTAGGATAGATATACATATTCATGCCAAATATATTAAGAATAGATTCCATCTCCTAAAAAAATAAACGTAAATATTTTAATTATTTTTATTGAAAAAAACAAACAAAAATTAAATAAAAAAACTACTTACAGCTTTACGAAAATCAATGTGTTCTTGAGCAAACCAAAATAGATATTTTTTCCATTGATTGTTCATTATTATTTTATATATTATTTCATTTTCATTTATACAATACTATATCTAAATTTTGATTTTAATTGTGTTAAAAATATACATATATTTTAATAATAAAATATTTTATGATGCTTTTACATAAATTAATACAACTGAGAAATTATAAAAAAAAAACATTTGCAATTGTATTATAAAATTTAATTTATTATTAATTCATTTATTTTTTTATTGAAAATATAGAATTTTTAATTTTAATAAAAATTATTATATATTAATTAAATTATAATTATATGCAAATATAAATATTATTTAGCATTAAATAATTTAAAATCCATGATCATTAACCAATGTGATCAACACAAAAAGATGCTGTTCATATTATATATACGCGCATGCTTAATCGAAATCATAGATAAATAAAATATAGTAAGTCGATTATTATGGAAAAATTATATTCTTATATTATTATCATTATTTTTCAATATATAGAATTTAAAGTATTAGTTACAGCAAAATTATTTGATTTATTTTATAATATATTACTCGGATATAAAATAAAAGTAACATTTATTTTATTGTTTATAACATACTGTACTAAGAAATTAAATTAAATTATAATATTAAAAATTTTATATACTTAATTATTATAAAATTTTATATAAATGTTAACTTTGTGAAACATTTAATATAAAACAAAAAAGTAAATTTCAAAAACGTACATATAGCAGGAAAAAGATAAGAAAGATATAAAAGAAAAAAAATATAAATATTGAGACATAAAAAGAATAAAATAAATCATAAGTTAATACATGAATATAATAATATGAATAAATATATCTTTAAAAATATATAATGTGTAGTAACTTACTTAAAATAGTCGATAAAAGAGAAAACGATTATTTCTTAATCGGTAGATCTGTAAGATTATGGCTAATAGAACAGTGTACGAGGGGGCGCTATATTCGTAGTAACATTTCTTGTTGTTCTCATTCTAAGGTGGAATACTACTCGTCACTGTTTTCTGTTGTGTTTTTAGGCTGGAATCGGACGAAAAACATGCCGTTTCGATAATCGAATGAGAAACACAAGGCTTTTAGAAAAAATTGTTGTACCTAAGTTTGAGAAAGGTGCTATATTGTAAGCGTGTGTGAATAGTGCAGGTGTAATTTAATAAGAGCAGGGGAGGCTGGCGATTTAATAGGATATTGATTTGTCCGCGACTGCCTTGCTGGCTCCATCGCACACTCGAACCAGGTAGCCATGAACGTCGATATTTTTGGGGCACTGCCTGGTGCAACGTGTCGGCCGTACATATGCCGTGCTCTAATGTGCTTGCAGGCCTGATAAAGCCCAAAATGCAGCCAGCCATTGGCGATATGTGTTAACATTATTAATCAAATTACGGGTTACAACAATTACATCTATTACAATCATCACGGCGACCAAAACGGCAACGACTACAACGATAACGGCGACGGCGGCGACGGCGGCGACGACGACGACGACGACGACGACGACGACGACGACGACGACGACGACGACGACGACGACGACGACGACGACGACGACGACGACGACGACGACGACGACGACGACGACGACGGCGACGGCGACGGCGACAACGGTCGTAGAAGTGATAACGAAGACAGTGGCAGTGACAACCACTACGATTACGGAGATAGCAAAAACAACTAGAACGATATTCGTGACGGATACGACGAAAAAGATAGTAACGGCAGTAACAACAAAGACGTCAATTACAAAAAGAAGAAAGTGGTGTTACTACTTCATTGTGGATATTTTACAGAAATTTTTATTACATTAGTTGTGTTCAATGTAATAGTTAAAAAGTTAAATGTATAAACAAAATACCTCAGGCATAATGGATACAACAAACAATGGAGCATCAGGAGGTGCAGTGGCTTGTCCAGTATGCACTCTTTATCTACGTGAGGGTATTAGCTTACAAAGACATTTGGACACTCATCCAAAAGAACAAGTTATTGAAGCTCTTATTAAAGCTAGTAACAATGCCTCACAAGTGCATCAGGCACAATTGTCATCATCAGTACCTCCAGCATCTCCGGCTATGCAATCACCCCAAAATACACCTCAAGTTGCACAGAATACTCATCTATCAGCTCAATCTCCATATCCTATAGGACCTATTTTTGAGTGTCCACCTATTGGTACTGTGATGCCACCTCAGTTTGCTTCATTTAGTTATCAACAGTTTGTAAATAATGGCACTATGATGATACCACAATACGCAATGGCTCCACAAGCTAATCAAATGATGCAAATGCTTTATAATCCATATGGTATGTACCAGCAGCAACAAATACCAACTGTTCAAATGATTTCACCAGTCACAGCCATACCTAATTCAGCTAGAGTCAGGCCAGTAATGACTATGGCTGGTGAAACAAATGGTAGAACTGCCATTGCTGTACCTGTAAATAATTCCGAGCCAAAACAAATTTTACCTGAGATTTTACCTGAATCAGAACAGGAGTCTGAACAAGTGTTACCAGATATTAATCTTCCAGTTTCTCCTCCATCATTAAATGAAGATAACTCTATGCAGCAAAATGAAAGTGAAACTAGTACAATTCAAATAGATCAAGAGGTAGAAGAAACCCATAATTCAAGTACTTCAGAGCAACATACTGTGCAAAATGAATATGATAACATTCCAAGATCAGTGACAATTACTTGTAATGTCAATGATACTACAGATGATAAAGTTGAGAGTGTATTGCCAGATATTGATGATGGAGAATCATCATGTGTTGTTACTACAGATGTACAATGTAAATCTCTTCATTATGAAGCATCAGAAATACAAGGATATGTACACAGATATGAAGATGATGATGATAACAATAAAATTATTACGCCTGAAGTATCATCAATGATAACAGAAAATGAGATTGAAAAAGCAACTAATGAAAAAGTTCCTCACAGAGAAGAAATAAATGAAAATGAAGGTACCTCTGCAGAAATGCCCTTAGAAGATACAGTAAAGGCACCAGCTCAGCGTGAAGTAGAACAATTAGAACGTCTTTTAATCACTATTATGGAAAATGAATTTAATAATACACCACAAAAAGAATCTAATTCTGAAGATGATAAAAAGAATGAAGGTACAAAGAAAAGTCTTTCTCCTAAAAGAGCAGAAAGTGTAATTCATGAAACAATCAGTAATAATTCCATTGAGCATGAACATAGTTGTGAATCTGACATAAAAATAAAACTTAGTGAAAGTTCAGAAATTGATATAGATAATGATGAAAATAAAAGTTCTTGCCTTTCATACCATTATAAAAATAGTTTATCTGCACCTGCATCACCAATTGTACGAAAGAGACCTCATAGAACTTACTCAGTTCGTTCAGAATTTAGTTCAAATGAAAATCTTAATTTTTATCCAAATAATTTTGATGCAAATACATTGCAAGATGAAGAAGATGATGAAGATGAAAAAAATGAAACAGAAGATAATTTTGATGAAGCAGATATGGAAATAGAAGAAATACCTAGCCCGCATACTCCTTTCATTAAATATGGTGAAAATGGAGATAATGTTAGATCACATACTCCATTATCTGCAAGTAGTGGTATATCTGTATTAAGAGTTCGAAAGGATCTTAGTAAACCATGTTCACCTGCATCAGTGCATTCATTTTGTCATATGGATACTAATGGTTTAAGTAATGATGAAGATAGTAATGGAGCAATGGATGAATCACCAGAAAAGGATCCTATTGATTGTTCTCAGGTTGAACAAGATGTAAAAACTGATCATTTAGAACTTTCTATATGTGAAAATGAAAAAAAAATAGAAGGAAATTCTGCATATCAATCTGGAATTACTGAACATATAAGTTCATTTTCTACAATTCATTCACAACATTCTCAGCAATCAATATCAATGGTGGATTCATATAATATGCCAAATAAAAGTAATCATATAAATTTATCAGAATCTAATGATGTTGCAAGTAGTTCTGATTCAAAGAATTTTCACTCAAAATCAATTATACAAAAGCAATCAATGGAACTTCTTAGTTTAAATGAAGATGCCCATGCAGGTCCAATGAATGTATTTGAATTTGATGGGCTTCAAATCTTAGTTCCTAGTACATTCATAAGTGATTCTTCACAAAAAGCAGTTAGTGGAACCAGTCAACAATCTATGGCAAGTAGTGAAGGTGGAGTAGGTGTAGATGAAGAAGTTAAAAGTATTAATATGAGAGCTGATGAAACTATGCCACCCAGAGGTGAATTATCAGAACAAGAAAGCAATGGATGTACAGAACAATCTGCTTGGCAGGTATGTATAGACATATTATTGACATTTATAATAAAAATTAAAAAAAAAATTCTATAATACATACATTAAAAACATTATTTTTCATTATTATTATATTATTTATTATTATATATAATAATATATATAATTATATATAATTATATATAATAATAATAATAAAAATTATTACATATATTAGATATTTTTAAAAGTTGTTTAAATTGTTATATTTTTTAAAAATATTATATTTATAATAAATTTATTTTGTGCATTTAGTTATATGCTGGTCAAGAATCATCACGAATGTCAACATCTTATGATTTAATGGCACGTGAAAGTTGGGAAGAATCTGATGGATCAGATAATGAAGTTGCAGGCCCCCTATTAGATAGCAGATCTTTAGCTACACATTTTACATCAAGTTTATTTTTAGATCGAGATAGGAAAACTCCTACAAAAAGAATGTTTAAATGTTATCATTGTCCTGAAGTATTTGATTGCCCTAAAGAACGCCGGGTACATAGTACTACTGCGCACAAAGAAGCTGGACCGAGTAGTAGTAGAGAATCTACAGATCAACCTGAAGTAAAAGATATTAAGTTATTGGATGGTCGTATGAATGCGTTTGAAGATATTTTTGTACCAGGTTTACATGTTCAACAAGTTTATCATCAACAACCAATGTTACATCAACTTCAACCACCACAATCAGCTGATGTAATTACAAAAGTAGAATCTGATCAAAAAGTTGAAACACTCGTAATACCATCAAATATTGAAGTAATTTGCACAGTTTGCAATCAACGATTTAGTAGTGAAAAATCATTACAACTACATCATAGAAGAGTACATGTTACAGAACCAACAAAGCGAATCCGTGAGAGCACTAAGTGCCAGATATGTCATGAAGAATTTCCTTCAGTTTTGTTATTCAATGCTCATTTAAAAATACACCCATTAGAATGTAGCCAATGTGGAAAGTATTTTTATAGGAAACAAAATTTCAAATTACACATGAAACGACATTTAGGAATTAAACCATTTCCATGTACTGTTTGTGACAAAGCATTTTTAACAAAACAAAAATTAGATGAACATACTAATGGTCATACTGGAAATGCACCAGTTAAATGTAATCTTTGCAATGAAACATTTCGTAGATATTCAAATTTGACTCAGCACAAAAATAGACATCATTTGAATATAAAGAAAAAATTAAAAGATTACATATGTCATTGTGGTGAGGTTTTTCATACAAAAAAAAAGTTAGCTTGGCATAAAGAAACACATGATGAAAAACCTAAAGCATGTACATATTGTAATGAAAGATTCATTCACATGGCCAGCCTGACTAGACATATGCGTCGAGCTCATAATAAAAGATTCGTTCCAGATGCTCAAAGAGAGAACGAAAATGTTGAATGTCCCGTATGTAAGTGTATTTATTTGCGATCTTCCTTAGCAGTGCATATGCGAGTTCATAATGGTGAAAGACCTTATGAATGTCAAGTTTGCTCTAAAACATTTAGTACTAAGTGGAACTTACAATTGCACAAATGGACTCACGCTGCCCGTAGCACCAAACCTTTTAAGTGTAATCAGTGTAGTGGTGCATTTTACCGACACAGTGATTATACTGCTCATATGAATTCTCACAGAAATGTGCGTCCTTATACTTGTAATTATTGTGGAGCGCAGTTCATACGAAAATATAATTGTTTAAGGCACGTAAAAGAACATGAAGAAAATAAAGCATATACATGCGATGTTTGCAACAAAACTTTTCATAGATCATATTATCTAAAAGAACATTTGCGAGTACATTCAGGTGCCAGACCATATACATGTCATATATGTGGAAAATCTAGCGGTACAAAATCCAATCATAATAAACATGTAAGAATTCATCATGCACGAGAACCTGTAAATACTGAAAATTAAAAAACGAACGAGATTTAATCAGTATCAATATTTTTAAAAATATTATTTTCCAATACTTTATCTTAATCTTTTACTTCTAATCTCTTTATGTATTTAAATTTTATTCTTCATTTAAAAAATGAAGAAAATATTAATTTAGCACAAAGTGATGAAATAAATGTAATTTCTATATATTGTATTTCTTAATTTTTTTAAAAT